GAATGGTTGATGTTTTTGTGCTTCTTCTCACGTGATGAGAAGATATAGATATTGTATATGCTTTTGCTTTGTTTTATTGTGGGTTATTTTGAAATCTTCATGGGGAAGCAAGTTAGGCAGACAATATTAAAATGAAGGAGAATGAGAACAAGGGAGTTTCCATTTGAGAAAGAATTACTCCATGTTGATTTCAAAGAACAGTGAACTAAACTTGGCCGTTCTCCTCAAGTAGCACTTGCCTCATTTCCAGAGGCTATTTAGTTGAAATGAACTTCATGGTAGATAAGAAAAAGGCAAAATTCTTGGATCACAATTTCACAAATGTGGTCTGTCTTCCTTAATTCATCCAAAGTTTTCTTGCTGCACAAGAAAAAGAGCATTGTCTTTGAATTATGGCATATAGAGGGAGAGTCTTTGTAGTAAAACACAAATTTCTGGTAAGGAAAAATGCTAAATAGGAAGAAAGGGGAAGCAATCCAATGTTATAATGATGGTTTTAGAAGCTGAAAATATATATCTTCACAGGTTGGACAAGTACTGCCAGCTCATCAGAAGAACTTTGCCCTCTTTCCCTGCAAGAGATACCACCTGTTAACATAGTCACCTGTTTTGTTTAGACGTTGCTAAGTAATGGGAAAGACGTTCTCCTAGCAGTTGCCTTGTCAGCCACCTCCCGCAACCTCACCTGCTTAGCCTTTGATATGTCCTCCCCAGTCTCTGGAGACATGGTCTTCAAGTGTCCAGCACCTTCCACATTTCCACAAAGCCCGCCTTGCCACTGTCCATTACTACACTGTGGATCTCTTCCCAGTGTCCAGCTCCACAGTAACCACCTAGACAATGTCTGCCTAAGGCTTCTCCTTTGAAGCTTCCTGTGTATTTCCCAAAGCTGGAAGAGTCTCGGAAGCTGGCAGGGCCAAAACACCACAAAGACAAATGGATCCTCCCTTTTATGGCACTCTATCAAATTCTATTCAAAACCTGTTACGATGAGAGGTGGCATCTCACCTCTCATCATGTGTCAGAGGCTGATGCATCTTCACCAAGTGTCAGCCTCTAATCTCTTTGTGATGACACGTAACAGAGAAAGGCTTCTTTCCTGAACTTATTACCATGCAACATTCTAGGAGTAAGTTGAGAAAGTACTGTCCTCATCCACACCAACCTTTCCAGAGCCTCAGAAAGCACTTAGGTCAAGTCCAAACTTCTTACAGTGATCTATCTGCCCTTCTGTGCTCTAGGCATTGATTTCCATCCAGTGGATGACTGTGTTTAATGTCTGCTTTGTGAATTATAAGCCTATTTCATAATTGTCTTAACCTAGCTTCTCCAGAAAGTTATGCCTGATGCTAAAGCCTCATAGGGAGGGTTTCATTTGGGAATGTGACCCCAGAGTAAAGGAATAATGGACAAGGGGATAACTGAGAAGGAAGGAACTTCCATTCAAAGCAGCATTATCATTTTGTACATCACCACGCACAACTGGTGGTCAAGCCCATGAGACCTTTCGAAGATCTTTAGGAAATGGTCTCTTTATCCTGGAGATGAAGGCAGGAAGTATGGATCCATAGCCTCCTGTTCACTCCCCTTCACCACCACTTTTTGTCCAATCTGGCTCCATGTGCATTAACCCCCACACTTCCAGACTGAGGACAAGAAAGTGCACTGTGTTCCACAGGTGCCCTGCACTGTAGTACCATAGAAGCCTTGGATCAGGAATGGAGAGGAGGTTCCTCCACAAAGCTCTTCTAGACCTACATGGGAAGGGCCACATGACAGTGTGTAAATATGAGGTAGGGCAGAGAGAATGTGGAGGGATACCCAAGAGGTATCTAGTACACTTAACCAGCTAGATCAAGATATAAGAAAATTAGCAGCATCCATCATCCTGAGAAGAGCATCAGTGTGAAAGTCAGAGGCATGTGGGGAGATGCTGGCTGCAATCAGAAGCCGTATGGCTTCCTAGCAAATTCATTGGCTAATCTAGCACTGCTGGTGAAGAAATTGAGCTTCCCTGTATAGTAGAAAAAGCCTTAATACCCAACTATTCAGTGCACTTTAGACACAAGCAGAAGGGTAAAGGAGAAATTCAGGAGCTAAAAAGAGAAAGGTGTTGCTGGGGGAAAGGAGTTACAAGTCAGGTAGGTGCATCAGATCAAAGCCTAGAGAATGTTGAGTAACGGCCTCCCTTTGCACTCAGAGATATGGGTCCAGGAAAGACACAAGAGGTGGGGCCCAGCCTTGGAGCCGAGGTTCAGGTCAGCTGGGTCCATGCTAGTGCCATGGAGGACCAAGGAGCCAGAAGCAGGTTGCCCTAGGTCTGAGAATCCCACCAGATCAGCAGCAAGGCATACTTGATACTCCCTTTGCAGGGTCCTTAGAGATGGGTAAGGAAAGGCTTATATCCAAGGCTAGAGGAGAGCTAACTTGATGCAAGAAGGCTGGAACTCAGACATGGTGCTGGCAGTGGCCCCAGCCCAGAGGGAAGTGACTACTTAAACTCTAGCAGAGAAGGAAACAGATGGATGGGGATAATAGCAGAAACATCAGCATCTTGCTGAGTCCTTACCGCTCTTGCCAGCTCATTCCATGAGGCTTGTCACAAGGGAGTGTTTCCCTTATAAAAAGACTTTCTACTAATTCTCAAAGCAGCTTCTGGGTGTTTTATAACAAATAATGTCATTCGTTCATCCATCTGTTCTATAATTGTCAATCCGCTGAGCATCTACTGCACACCAGGGACCATGTGGGGATGGAGGTAGAATAATGGCTAGGGTACTCAGTTGTAGGGGCTTTTGGTGGTGGCTGGCTGGTCCTGGGCTCAAGTTCAGGGGAGGTGACACAGCTGTGGAGCCAGCAGGTACTCCAGAAACATTTAGGTAAGCAAAATAAGGAGAGAGGAACCGCTCAAACACTTGGGTTTGAAGAAAGATTTGAATATTCCAAAGACCACAGCTTGTCACAGACTGGGGATTGAAGTTAGGCCTGGATTAGTGACCTCAGTTTCATATTATCTTGAACAGAGTGAACTCTGGTATAAGAGATCAGAGAGTCTCATATCTCTCATCCCTGCGTTGTCCCCAGGAAGAGATCTTCATGACCCTTCAGGTCTTCAGGGCCTGCTGTCACATTAGAACAAATGGATGGGCCAAAGGGGCCAGGTTGCTCTGGGGCTCCTGAGCCTGACTGCCTCCACAGTGTTTTTTCACTGATGGGTGCCTATGCCCTGTCCACTATTGACTGTGAGGTCTTTCTTGGAGTAAAGGCTTTTTAGGGCCAAAAGAATTATTTTAGCCTTTCCTTTCCCCTCCCAGGCCCGGGTACAATGAGTGATAGATAAACAGAATTATTCCTTTTTTCCACCTGGGAAAATTCATGCCACCATGCCCTTGGCCCCAGAAGAACCAGAAACACCTATTGTTCATCTCCACATCTATTTCATATACTAAGCAGCCCAACAAGCCTGGTCTGTGCTGAGGATTAGGGCCTTCCAGAAAACAGGACTGTTTCTGGTTCCAGCAATCCTAGAATTTCTTCCTTCTCTCTCCTTCCAGCCAACACCACTCTCACCCTAAACACTACATCTGGCTGCAAAGGGTGCTCGGTGGGGATAAGGCCCAGGTGACTTCATTGTCAAATAGCAAGTGCCAGAAAAATGTTGAGCAGGTAGTTTCATCACAAAAGCTGAGCAAACAGGTAAGTGAGGGGAGTGGGGTGAATTATGTTTGGCAGGCAAAGAATGAAGACATAGCAGCCCAAAAGAGTCCCATTTCCTTGAGACAGGTCTTGATCTCTGTATAAAAAGCCAGTTGGCTGGAGACACCACACCAGGTCTAAGTCACCACACACCCTCCTCCTTTCTGTGTACCTGGTGAGTCTCTTTCCTTGCAACTTTTTACCAGCCACTCAAGGTATTTGACTTTTATTGGAACCTCTTTGGCCTTCTTGGTATCTTTTTCTGCATTATTGAAGTTCAATCATCAGAGTTACAGCCTCTAGAAATATCTTTGTTTTTTTCCAGTAATCATAGTTTGGCCTTGAAGGGACTTAAGACATTATCAATTCTGCCCCATCAGTTCTTGCTGTGTCAGTGAGAAGGGGACTGGCTTGTGCAAGAACTCAAAGTTAGCAGGATAAGGACCAGAATTGAAGTCCATAGCACTTTCAGTGGCATTTCTTTCTTTAGTCATAATTTTAATGCAGAGAATTTTATTCTTTCAACAAGTCATTTTGTGAGAATTTACTATGTTTGGCACTCTGGCTGCTATAAAAAAACAATTTAGACAACAGGGAATTTACACTATGAAACTACAATTTATTCAGGAAAATAAGGCATGGGCACGAAGAGCTTAAGTACCATGTAGAAAGTCACTAGCGTAAGGCAATACGGACAAGTAAAGTTCTAGGGCCGTCTGGGGAGACAGAGGAGTTCTGAAAGGCTTGCTCTAGAAACACTCTCAAAAGTATCGTATGAGGTGCTGTATGATCCGTGGTGGCTGGGTAGTACTTGAACAAGCAGAAAAGAGAAAAACATTTGAGGCAGAGGAGGGTGTGAGCAAAGCCAAAGGTGGGATCATGTGGGGTTCTAGAGAAGTCAGTAGTTATCTTATAGATGATAAGCCGTTCTATTTATCAGAAATGTGTGGGTGGGCTGAAGCTACTGGTTTTTTTTTTTTTTTTTTCCCAAATAGTATCACATTTCTATATGATTCAATAGTGTGATCGCACATTCTTGCCAGGAGCCTACTAGTGAGTTGTGTTGCTAACTGGGTTTTAAGATGTGCCAGGAAGAAAGAGACCACTGGGAGAGACCCTGTGCAAGTGGATCAGGACAAAGTGCCTTTACATTCCTTCTCTTGAAAGGCTCAGAAATCATCAAAGTGTTCCTTGTGGTAGACAGTGAGGAAGGGGAGGATTGGCTTCTTAAGAGATCGGAAATGGCATTGAACGTGGCTTCTTCCTTAGTTAACCCCTGTTTAAAGCATCTGTTCTGTCTCTAGGTCCAGCCTCCTTTGAAGCATGAGTTCCCAGCAGCAGAAGCAGCTCTGCACCCCAACCCTGCAGCCTCAGCAGCAGCAGGTGAAACAGCCCTGCCAGCATCCACCCCAGGAACCATGTGCTCCCAAAACCAAGGAGCCCTGTCACCCCAAGTTTCATGAGCCCTGCCACTCCAAAGTTCCAGACCCCTACCACCCCAAGGTTCCTGAGCCCTGCCACCCCAAGTTTCCAGAGCCGTGTCCCGCAATGATCGTTCCAGCACCAGCTCATCAGAAGACCAAGCAGAAGTAATGCGGTCCACAGCCATGCCCTTGAGGAACCAAGCACTGGATGCTGACTCCCATCTCCCATTCTGCTTATGTGTCCCACTTACAATTAGCATGCTGCCACCCCGAGTCACAGTCCTTTCCCATGTGCACTCTAAAAACATGTGCTATTTCTTTTCCTCCTGCAACATTGTGAGCCTCTGAATTAGGCTCAGGTTGTTAGAATTAGCTCAGTTTCAGCTGCTTAGGATTCATCTGAAGTGTGACCAAAGGTGAAACAAGTGGATCAGCTCTGTTCTTCCCCCATTAAGTTAACTTTCAATTCCACTCCTGACTGTGTGCCCTGGTCTGACTCAGCTCCTTCCTTTCCCTCATGAAGTAGGACCTATACACAAACAGGTTGGTGAGGAAGGACTTCCTTTAGAAGCATCTGATCCCGGTAGCAGTGGGTGGGAGGTTGCTCTCACTGAACATTCCTGGGCTGTCAATGAGAGGTTGTGCAACGCCATCAGAGGTTGTTGCTTTGGACATTCAGGAGTGGGGCAGGACTCTCCTCTTGCAACTCATTGAGTCACAGAGAATCTAGTTAGTGCCTGTCCAAGCTGACTCTGACTCTCTAACCTTGAGTGTCCTGCCCTCAAATCTGGCTTCCAGATTGCTGACTTACCCAGCTAATTCCTGATTATTTCAAGGGATCTTGTTCCTACATATGTGAATCTGCTCCTCCTCCCTCATTGCTTTCTGATGCCTGTAACTCAGATTCTCAAACATACCCAAAGACTCACAGCCTCCACTTTTGTTGTCTCAATCAATCCTCTTCCACTCACTGAGTGCCCACTCTGTGCCAGAAAGAGGATAAGGAGGATTCACAGTGCTTGTCTTGGGGCATTTACAGTCTTTAGAGGAATGTACTTCACTCCCCACCGCACCCCTTATACAAACACACCTACACTCATGCACGCTAGATTGGGAGTCTCCCAGAGTAACACACAAAAGCTGACCCACTGCATTCCCAGGTTGGAGACTGTTTGCTTTACACATAGTGTGGCAGGAACCACAGGAACTGAAGACCAGAAGGCATACTGCCCTGACTTCCTGGAGTATAAAAATGTTACAGTGAAATGAAACATGACAGAATTGTTAACCATGCACTAATATATATATGCATCTATTTATATTTATATAAAAAGTATATATTTCTTTATGTTACTGGAAGACAAAGAAAATTCTCCTGCAGCAGTATAAAAAGAGACGTATTTTGGGTTGGCCCCGTGGCTTAGTGGTTGAGTGCACATGCTTTGCTACTAGCGGCCTGGGTTCAGATCCCAGGTGCGCACCAAAGCATCGCTTCTCCAGCCATGCTGAGGCCGTGTCCCACATACAGCAACTAGAAGGATGTGCAACTATGACATACAACTATCTACTGGGGCTTTGGGGGGGCGGAGGAAAGGAGGAGTACTGGCAATAGATGTTAGCTCAGAGCCAGTCTTCCTCAGCAAAAAGAGGAGGATTAGCATGGATGTTAGCTCAGGGCTGATCTTCCTCACACACACAAAAAAAGAGAGAGACGTATTTTTACTTAGGTTGTTAAATGAAATAATGAAAAAAACATGAACATTTTGGTTTATCCAACAATTGTGATACTTTTCATCATAACATTTTTACCCGATTGCACTCTTTAAAATTATAAATTTTATTTGAAAATGTTTACCCTGAAAGTTCTATGATCCTAAATGTCTTTTTGTTTAATTGGTAGACAGGTCTACTATCATCTCCAAGTAAACAGTGCCTCCTAACACCAAAACCAACCAAACAAACAGAAAAAAATATGTTCTAATCATGCTATGTTTATTAGGCCAGGTAGGCTAACTGCCATAACACACACCCCCTAAATTGTTCTGTCTCAACCCAGTAGAAGTTATTTCTTACTCACATCCAAGTCCAGTGTGGGTTGACAAGGTCTTTTCTCTGTGCCATTATAAAGGGAGCCAGATTCCTTCCCTCATATGGTCTCACCGTCATTGAGTGCCTTGTCCTTCTCCAAATTCAAGTACAAGAATAGGGAAATAGACTCAGTATGGAAAAGACACCCCCGATCTTATCCACCTGGAATCAGAAATGACATGCATCCCTTCTGTTCTTGTTAGCTTGAGTAGAACTTGGTCATGTGGCGCTCTCTACCTTACAAAGTCAGGAAATGTAGTTTATCAGTCTGTCAAAAAGAAGAAGAAAACTGATATTGGTGAACCCTTCAAGGTTCTGCCACAGTCTACCCTTCTGGTCCTAAAATATCCATTTATTCCTTTAGTCTCATAAGCAGAATACAATCCCCCAAGGAAGAAACTCCATAGTCCCATCTAGTTCAAAATACATGGTCTTTGGGTGACATGAAATTCTCTCTATCACATCTTCCTACGGCTGATATTGGTTCAGCAAACTATGAGATGAATGCATCACCATTTCTTCCTGCTACCCAGCATCCAATGGTGACACAGGTACAGGAAAACTAAATAGAAATTACCGAGAGAAAATAACAGGAGAAAAATGGCAGTCAACACGGCCCTAGTTTTCTGAGATCAGCTAGGCAAGCACTGTGAAGTCATATTCTTCCCCACCCTAACATCCAGATGTGGCAGAAGTTCTGTGTTAAGGTCTTGATTCTGCTCTCTGGAAGGAACTCCTTTTTCCTTTGTTACCCAGCACTCTGCCATTGGTACGATTATTCTTTTTACGTGATCAAATGTGAAGTATGCATTGTGGATTGTGCCCTCCCTGATAAGGTAAATTTGCAGCTATCTTTCTACCCAAGTATGGTTTTAAGGCTCTTGGAAACAGTTTTATTTTGTTTGAGATCCAGCCCGTGGTTACTTCGGGAATACGATTCCTCAAAAACCTTGTGGACTTCTACTTGCTTCCAGTCAGTTCTACATGCCAATAATCATACCAAAATTTCTTTCCCAGAAATCATTCTTATGCTTATTTCATTCATTTGCTTCCTTTTCTCAATGACTTTCTTTCTCAATTGTAGCTTCTTTGAGACTATTTGGAAAAATAAACTTAGATGGGAAAACATTAAACCTTAATCCAGTCTTGGCTGAAAACCTGAGTCTTAATTGTCTTGAAACCGTTCTCTATTTGATCTTTTTCTATTTAGTATCTGGACATAATCAACTTTCCCAACCATGCAGATCTCTAGATTTCTGGTTTCCCTCTATTCCCTTGCATTTCTGTTTGCAAAAGAACCAATTTTTCTTTTTTTAAACAGTTTTATTGAGATAGAATTCACATATCATAACATTCAATCTTTTAAAATGTGCATTTCAGTAGATTTTAGTATATTCACAGAGTTATACAATCATCACCACCATCTAATTCCAGAATACTTTAATCATTCCAAAAACAAACTCCATATGGATGGGCTGTCACTTCCCATTCTCCCTCCCCCCAGGCCCTGGCAAACATTAGTCTACTTTCTGTGTACATAAATGATATCAAACAACATATTGCCTTTTGTGTCTGATTCTTTGACCTAGCACAATGTTTTAAAAGTCGATCTGTGCTGTAGCCTGTATTAGTATTTCATTCGTTTTTATTGCCAAATAATATTGCAGTGTGTGAATATACCTCATTCATCAGTTGATACACGTTTGGGTTGTATACATTTATTAGTTATTATGAATAATGCTGCTATGAACATTCATGTACAAGTTTTATGTGAACATATATTTTCAATTCTCTTAGGTATATACCTAGAAGCAGAATTGCTGTGTCATATGATAACTGTATGTTTCACTTTTTGAGGAACTGAGAAAATGTCTTTCAAGGTTGCTGAGCCATCTTACATTCCCACCGGCAATGTATGAGGGTTCCAATTTCTCCACACGCTTAGTGAGACTTGTTATTGTCTGTCTTTTTATTATAGCTATCCTGGTAGATATAAAGTGGCATCTCATTATAGTTTTAGTTTGCATTTCTGTAACGAATAACGATGGTAAACGTCTCTTCATGTGCTTATTGTGCATTTGCATAGCTTCTTTAGAGAAATGTCTATTCAAAGCCTGTGCCCATTTTTAGCTGGGTTATTTTTCATTTTATTGTTGAGTAGTAAGTGTTCTTTATATACTCTAGATAAAAGTCCTTAATCAGATATATGATGTATAAATAATCCCCCATTCTGTGGGTTATCTTTTCAATCTCTCAATGGTGTCCTTTGAAGCACAGGAGTTTTTAATTTTTCTAAAGTCTAATTTACCTATTTACCTACGTTTTTTTCTTTTGTCACTTGCACTTTTGGAGTGACATCTAAGAAACCATTGCACAATTCAAGGTCACAAAAATTTATACTTGCATTTTTTCTCAGTTTTATAGTTATAGTTGTTACACTTACCTTTAGACCTATAATCCATTATGAGTTAATTTTTGTATATAGTATGAGGTACTGGTCCACCTTTATTGTTTTGCACTGGATATCCAATTGTCCCAGTGTCATTTATTAAAAACACTGTTCTTTTCCCATTGAATTGTCTTGCCACTTTGTCAAAAATCAATTGATCATAAATGTAAAGATTTCTTTATCAACTTTCTCCTTATGTTAGTATCACACTGCCTTGACTACCGTAATGTTGTAATAAGTTTTAAAATTGGGAAGTGTGAATCCTCCAACTTAGTGTTTCTTTTTCCAGATTACTTTGGCTAGTCAGGGTACCTTGCATTTTCATTTGAATTTTAGGATCTACCTGTTAATTTCTGCAAAAAAGACATCTAGGATTTTGATAAGGATTGTGTTGAGACTGTAGATCAATTTGGTGAGTGTTGCCATCTTAACAATATTAAGTCTTGCAATTCATAAACAGGGGATTTCTTTTAATTTATTTATGTCTTTTTTTTTATTGTGGCAATGTTGGTTTATAACATTGTATAAATTTCAGGTGTACATCATTATATTTCTATTTCTGCATAGATTACATCATGTTCACCACCCAAACACTAATTACAATCCATCACCACACACATGTGCCTAATCATCCCTTTCGCCCTCCTCCCTCTCCCCTTCCCCTCTGGTAACCACCAATCCAATCTCTGTCTCTATGTGTTTGTTTGTTGTTGTTTTTATCTTCTACTTATGAGTAAGATCATAGAGTATTTGGCCTTCTCCCTCTTACTCATTTTGCTTAGCATAATACCCTCAATGTCCATCCATGTTGTCACAAATGGCTGGATTTCATCGTTTCTTATGGCTGAATAGTATTCCACTGTGTATATATACCACATCTTCTT